AATATAAAATTTCAATTTTTATATAGAACTTTTGATTAATGACAATCTGTCAGTGATGACAGGAGTCATTATACATTTGGTAATGTCACAAATGCGGCCGGTAAAGTGACAGATGTGGCCTGTAAAGTGACAAGCGGCAGGAAACGTGGTCTGCTCTGCCTTTGTCATGGAAACTAAAATTTCCTGACAGAAAGTAGACATGAAAATGAAGGTTTCAGGACGATTTTGGGTAAAATAATTAGGGGAGAAAATATTTCAATATTAAGAAATTACCATTGAAATCCCTATGGTGCGTAAACGAATTCTACACCCTGTATACACGTCAAAGCATTTGACAGAGTGGACCATATAATTTTAGCAGAGAAGCTTGAGCTTCCAAATTCTAAAAACACTTCTTGCCGAATATAATATTTTAAGCAAGATTTGCATCGAATTTTGGTCCAAAATAAAAACGCCACTGAAAGATCACAGCGGTTCAACCCTTAAAATAAAGCCATCTTGTTTTAACAAATGGAAATAGTTACGTTTCATCTTCACGACCGTAGGCCACCTCGTATTTCGCTGGGAACGTGGCGGTCCTAATGCCATCAAAGGAACTTACCTCGAAAGGACTGTACAAACACAATTTCCAGTCACAAGTCTACCATATAACTCCAAGCAAGAATTTAGAAATATGTTTTCCTTAATTGCCTCGCTTTTGTTATCCCACTGAGCGTTTATTTTGAATTTGATTATACGAGCCGGTAACAATAAAGCCCAAGATAAGCAAAGAATTAAATTAATTTCCTTTATGAAAACTTCAACAACGGTAATTAGATCAGATACGCGCGAGCTTCCAATTATTGTACACTGAAATACATTTTTTTAAGAATGGCGGATGGCAATGTATACCTGGCTTAGAAGATTTAATTTGAATGGTAACGAGAAGAGGAACCGAAGTCATTATATTACGAAATATTTATACTTTAATTACACTAGATCTAATTTAATTTCGCAAAACCGCTCTCATGAATTTTGTTAAATTGAAATAGTTCATTTACATACATTCTTGCTGTTCCTTCCCTTTCTCTTTTTGAGAATTATCATATTTTCGAGTAGTGGTTTAAAATCTCAACAATTTTTATTGTCTGAATAATCAGAAAGAATTCATGAACTGAGAAAATTTGAAATAGAAGAAACGAAATCTGATAAATTCAACGAAGCAGAAATGAAAGATTTTGAAAGACCTGCTGAAAGTGAAGTCTGACGAAGAATGAGAACTATCTGATGGACCAAGAATTGGAAGAAATTAAAAAGAACCAATTGTCAAGGATTACGAAGAGTTGAAAGAAATTGACGAATCATAAAGAAGCACTTAAATCTGAAGTCCGAAGAAAGGAGGAATCCAAACAACACGACTTTTGATAGGTATTGCACTATTTACTTTTATTTCAGTTCACATTCGGAGACTTTTATTGAAATATTTCCGCAAAAAAAAATGTGTAATGGTCCCTACAGGATTCCCCGATAATTATTATAGGGAACAATGTACAAAACAAGACAAGAAACCTCCACTCAAAAAAATTGCATGGCATTAAAAAGATAGTGATTTCTTCTCTTGCTGTACAAGAATTGAGCACTCATTTTAAAACGTACCTTATAAGTCCCTACAGGATGTGCACCGTCATAAATATACAGATGATCGTTGCAGTCTAATTGTAGAAAATCGAATCTTAGCATAAATCGCTGAAGTATCGAATGCGTCTGAAAGGTTACAACGCAATCTAGGTTTCTTTCATTTTGTGACCAAAGTAAAGCACCGTCGATTTTGCGATAAACTTGCTGAAGGAAGTGGTTCTTGCAGAGAGCTTGCATTGAATCTGAAAAGAAAGAGAAAATTGTTAATTTAAGTGTTCAGTTTTGAACATTATTTTAAATTTTACAAAAACTGTACGTAGCGAGTAATAATGACAGTTTTGCTATGTCTCTGAAAGTAAGGTAGTTAGAGCTTTCCGGTATTTACTTTCCTACGATAAGTACTACTACAAAAGAGAGGAATTTTCTTTAAAATTTTCGATGTATCAAAATAGTAGGTGGGTACTATAGTAAAAAATAGGAAATTTGATATTTTAAAACAAAGGGCGAGGGAGTATAAAAAGTGTCTTTAAAGACTGTCCCGAAACCGTTATGGATACTTGTTTCAAGCCTTGAATTGAAGCATCCGATTAAGTCGTGGGGGTCCCAAAAGATTTGCTTTCCCGTAGACAACGCTAATTAATTTGTGTTTAGTTGCTTTACCGACTTAAATCGTTATTTTTTTTGTTATTTGCAACATTTTCAATTAACTACATGCGAAGATCACCTTGTAACCCGAAGGCTCAATCTTCAAATGAGTATAACTTTTGTTTGAAAAGTGATTTTAAAAAACTGCTGCAATGGAACTTTTTTCCACATTTTCAAAAAGTGGCACAGAAACAACGATCACAAATACCCTGTATATAACTATTATTACACACTGTATATTCAAAATGACACAGCCAATCACAGTAAAAAATTCAAGCGCCCCGCACAAATTCAAATCCCGCGGGATTTGCGGGACTGAAGAATTTGTCGACCAACGAGACGACTCTGTTTACTTTGTTAATGAAACGCATAACGGAGAAGTTATTTTTTAAATAATTGTTAAACTTTTTTCGTTAAAGTGTACTATGATTTTACTTTAGAAGTTCACCTTTTTGTGCTTTACAGGTGAGGTTTTTTTGAGCTCTAAGTGAGACTGAAGGTACTTTTTTGTTAAATATTGTGATAATTAGCGATTTATTTTAATACAGAAGTTAACCGCACAGAATTGCTTATTTGGCAATTTATTTAAAGTTTTGCGGGATCCCGCAAATACCGGGATCCCGCGGGATTAACATCTAACAATCCCGCAAATACCGGGATTGAGATTTTACTGCGGGATTGCATTTCCTATCTGAGACAATTTTTTTTTTGGGGCAAAAAAAAGGCAGTGTATAACCTTCCTTTTTTACCAAAAATCGACTACACCAAAATTTCTCGGGAAAACACTTTTTCGTATTAATTTTGGTGCGTAGAATCCAAAACAATTCGTACTTTTTCGATCGGACTTCTCAATCAAAAGTTATAGACTAGAAACCAATTTCGAAAAAAAATTCAAAACGCTGTAACTTTTGAACTAGTAGCCCAATCTTGGAACTGTTTGAAATTATGGATTCTACGGGCCACATTCTATAAGAAAATTTTTTTTCCGGGTCGATCTGAGACAATTTTTTTTCGGGGCTCAAAAAAAGGCAGTGTATAACCTTCCTTTTTACCAAAAATCGACTGCACCAAAATTTCTCGGGAAAACACTTTTTCTTATTAATTTTGGTGCGTAGAATCCAAAACAATTCGTACTTTTTCGATTAGACTTCTCAATCAAAAGTGATAGACTAGAAACCAATTTCGAAAGAAAATTCAAAAGGCTGTAACTTTTGAACTAGTAGCCCAATCTTGGAACTGTTTAAAATTATGGATTCTACGGGCGCAAATTCCGGGATCCCGCGGGATTAACATCTAACAATCCCGCAAATACCGGGATTGAGATTTTGCTGCGGGATAGCATTCCCTAGGCGCAGCCAATCACAACGCAGAAGTTATTTTGGTTGCATAAAATTAGGCGCTCTTCAGAAGAGATTTTGTCCTTTAAAAGTAGACATAGTGAAAAACAATACGTACAAATGTCTATGTCTACTTCTTAAGAAATATCACTGTATACACCACGGTAGAGAAGTCTATTATTTCCTTTGCATGTTACATCCCTCGGTGCAAGCGCCTCGCAATGTCATTTTTGGTCCTCAGCCTTCTCTATCTTGGAATATTATATACTATTACACTAGTGTATTATATTGAGCCGACGCGTATGGGGTGTTTGCGGACAGAAAACCTTGTTTAGTGTATTGATTTGGAATAAGTTTTGAGTGAGTTATAAACAATTATTGCAAAGAGGGATTTTCTGTTTGGATGTTTCTTAATATTTTTTGAAACAACGTTCAGATAGACATAGACAAAGCACATACAACGTTATTATTTATTTACGTTATATACTTTATCATATGGAATTCGCGCAAAGCTGCAATAAGCTTCATGCTGAATTTACAAAATAGGTACGAAACGTGTTAAGATAAATTATTGCAACATAAACCATTTAGTTTTGCATGAAATTTAAACAGTAAAATATGATACCGGGGAGAACACGGTTAATAAATTTCCCAAAACGAAGTGCGGAAATTTGCGCACTAAAAATCAACAGAACCGAATTTATCTCGTATATGCACTACTTAACCTAAATACGCACTTATTTGCTAAACGGGAATTCTTACGAAAATAAATTTTGTTTATTTTTCTCCCTTTCTACCGTTAAAATAAACTACCCTGAAAGCATTCCACTTTCCTTTTATGAAATGTATAAAATGGAATTAGTCGCATACTTCGTTGCAAAAAAGCAAATCCCTACGACGAAATGGAATTAAACAACTTCGTCTTCTAATCTAATGGATATACTCTTTAGAAAATTTACAAAACGTAAATTTATCCTCGTTGTCCTTTTCTTTTACAACTCCATCGGATTTGATTAAATTGAGCAAGGTAAAAATGAGAGGGGATAATTAAATTGGGCTTATTTAATTTTAGGATTCATTCTTTACGATTATTATTCATTTACATGGGGAAACTGACGTAGAAGTAAAGGTGGTCGTTTCGTGTGTTAAAAAAGAGATTAATCGTTAAGGCGCCTCTAAACACTTGCAAAAATTTAAGATTGCGCCTTACTGTATTTAAGGCTATGCAACACACATTACCAATTGCAGCAAGAAGGTCACAGGTACCTTCTCATTGTTGAGTTAATGAGGGTTTATTATATTTACCTAATTTACATAATCACTGTCAATTCAGGAAAATTCTATAAATATTTAACGCTATACCTGCATTTGTTGTAATTATGTTTATTTTCAAATTCTAGGAGATTTTGCAATAATTGTGTAAATAATGTCATTACATAGGAAACATAAAATAATTTATTATCGATAATGTAACTTATGATTTCACCTGTAATCACCTATAATTACTCATTACGATATTGAAAAACATTATCAAAAATAGATATATTGTACACAAAATAATGAGCATCTCAAAAACTAATTGCATAATAATGATATAATTACGTCTCTACTTCATATAAAAGAACTTCCCTAGCGATTTTCAAATATTGTTTACTTACTTTTGCGTTATATCAAACGTACTAAAGTGTGTATTGTGGTAAAATGCCTAAAGCAAGAAAAAGTTTCACCACCAAGAAACGGAGCAGGAAGGTGATATTGCAGAAAGCCCGAGAAGCGTAAGTACAAATTTTTTATGTTAGTTTTTTTAAATAATTGAACATGTTCTAATTTTATCTTACATGCTACGTATACCTATACTTATACGGTTTGTGTTGTTTCAGGAAGTTAACCAAAATGGCAATGAATGTTGTTAGTAGTATAGAAGAAGATGACAAACCTAATTGCATGGTTCAATGTGAAGAACATTTATCAGACGTCAATCATGAAGCAGGCAGTGGAACCAATGATGAAGACGAACACGGTTCGGAAATGTCATTTTATGAAAGTGATCTAGAAACAGAACCTCATTGCGAGCAAAAAGATACCTTATTTTTATCTGGTCGCCGAATTGTAGAGATTGGTCATTTTTTGGCATCTCTTAGAGCTCTACGACATGATGGCTTTGGTTGCTCTTTCTTCGACATGGACATCCAATCGGAAAAAATTGAAGGCTTAGAAAGCATATTTACGTTTAAATGTAAAGTGTGTGGGAAAATAGATTCCGTAAGAAGTTGCGGTGGTAGTGCAACATTTCATTCCACAAATCAAGCTGGTATTATTGGGTCCTTATCTATTGGAATTGGATACAGTCAATTAGCAGAGCTGCTTGCAGCCATGGATATACCGCAAATGTCAAACGTGACCTATTTAAAAAATCACAATGCCATATACCCTTCTGTACATGCATTAAATCAACAATTGATGACTGTCGCTGCAAAAGAAGAAGCTGAGCTTGCCGATGAAATGAAAGATGGTATACCAGTCATTGGCGTTATAGCTGACGGTGCATGGGCAAAGCGATCTTATCGTAAAAATTATTCTGCCCTTTCAGGAGTGGTAAGTTTATAAGAATACGTTATCTATTCAAAGCATAACCCAATCATTGTTATAGGCATCTATCATTGGAGCCAAAACAAAGAAAATTTTGCATATGGGTGTCAAAAATAAGTACTGCTTCTTATGTGCTAGAGGGCGTAAAGAAGAAGACCATGATTGTTTTCGAAACTGGTCTAAGACGTCTACAGCCATGGAATCAGCCATTGTAGGTGAAGGTTTTAAAAATTCCATAACGCGCCACAATCTTATATATGGAAAACTAATTGGGGATGGCGACAGTAGCGTTTACAAACATTTAGTTGAAATCGCACCATACGGTCCATCGTTTTACATAAAAAAAATTGAATGTCGCAATCATTTACTTCGAAACTTCATAAATAAACTCAGCGATTTGAGTAAAGACACCAAATACTCAAAACCTCACAGAGAGTATGTGTCAAATCCATCAATGCTAGGTCGCTTCCGCAATGCAGTTATAAGGGCTATCGCATACAGGAAATCCGAAAATAATGCACTTGATGACAAGATTGACAATTTAAAGAAGGATATATTGAATAGTCCCTACCATATCTTTGGCCGCCATGTACATTGCAAAGATTACTTTTGCAAAGGTTCAGATGAGAATAAGGTAATGTTTCTGATTTGCTATTTATTAATTCCATACT